GAGTTAGCACTGATCTTTTTTTTCAGGGAAGAACGTCAATTCCTTATTAATGGACTTCCTTCCATAAAAAGATAAGAAGTTTGTTTAGAAAATTTTATTTATGTGCAACTGTTACTAACAGGAAGATCCTGCAAAAGGGGAACATGTTTATTTCCAGTGAAGCTAGCACATTAATAGTAAATGAAAAAGGTGGTATTCTGAACTTTCAGAAGTTTTTTTTCTTTTTTAACTATCTGGTTCCATAAAGTTGTGTATAAAAGCAAATACTGTGGCTGTTAGGAGTACCTGTAGCTCCAGGACATTCAATTTTCTTTACAGCACAGATGGTTCTTTAGGAATATATATCTCATCTCCCTGCCTAGTGGTTGCAATCAGAAATTTCCATGTATATGAAGACCAGGGTGTTTTAATTTGTGCTTTAGATGTAGATCTTCTCCACTAGCTTTTCTGGACAGGTGGATTACTGCAATATAATTTTACCATATTGCAGCTTTTGTTTCTGTGGGGCTGACAGTAATTTACCTCCTTGAGGGTAAGGCCCCTTCAGTAACTTTAATTACTTTTTAGTGCAGCACCATTAGTTTTCCATGTCTATTTAAAGGTAGTGGTCCCTCTGTAACTGTTTTAAATCTCCTCTAGAAAATATTAATTTCTGTTCAGAGCACAATTGAGCAATGTTTCAGAGTGTGCTGAACATGCATTAAGTAGTTTGCAAAAAAATGCAGAATCAAAGAAAGGAGTCTACAGGTTTCTTAAAAATGTTTTTTAAACATCACCCATGCAACACTATTTTGAATAGTGAGAAGTCACTTGAAAAAATTACTCTTCAAAAAACCAGGGAATGGTAACATTACCAGTATGAAATCCAGAAGATTGGATGCTTTAGAAGCAAGGAGATCTCCTCCTTTCTTAAGTTGCAACGTGAAGCCCACACCATCCAGGGAGTAGAGCAGAACAGTGTAGGGGCTGAGCAAAAACTGAGCCCCCTTTGCAAACAGTCTCCATTCTCTATCATAGCACTTTAAGTGATGTGCTAGCAGAATTTGGGGCGACCTTAGAGAAGGTAAACTGAGTCCGCACCCCAAAAAATATGCACCATGTAGACAAAATATTAAGAGAAAGCCTCTATGAGTATGCCATTGTAGAAAGAGCACACAAAGAAAAGCCACACATGAAGTCTGACAGAATTAAACAACTCTGCTCAGAGGCTTATTCAGTGACCTCTCTTTGAAAGAAAAAGAAGTGTGTTTGGGTCATTTCTTGAAAGAACTCTAGAACTGAGTATTTGAGTCTTTTGGAGGTTAAGAGCATTGTGCACTGACAAATTACTTCATGGGAATAATTTTTTTGTAGTGTGTATGGGGAAATGCAGAAATTTAAGTGAGTTGGGATGATAAAGAAGGCCTTAAGGACTTTCTGTAAGAGCCTGTGAAATAGAGTGGTTTATTCAGAATAAAATCATGAAGCTTTTTGGAAGCATCAGAATTAGAAGAGTGCTCTCCAGTGCCTTCGTATTTTTAATAGTTCTGATGTCAACTCCAGAAGCCAGAAATGCGACTTGCAGACTGTGATAAAGGAGCCGTGTGCTTTTTCGGCTGCTGCAATTTTCAGAACAGAAGCACTTTCAAAAGATATGTAGGTGTAACAGGAGGCATCTGGGACTTGTTACTAGCCAGTCAAATTCCCATACAATAGAAGAATAGGGCGTTATAACAGATACAATATTCTAACATTTGTAGGTTTTTAATTTTAGTTGTCATATGGCAAGACAATGGGTTTGAATAAAAATTGTATCATTGCTTTTAGTGCAGGTTGAGGAGCTGGCCTCAGGCTTTCACAAGGTTCCTTTATAAACCAACAGAATTTTCAGGTTTATTTCCATGTTTCTGTAGTTTTCTGGAGGTTGTGGCAGACAAACTAACGTATGTGACATACTGTGGGTTTTGTCTGCTGCTTACATTCCTCTCCTCTCCATTTAGATGTCACACGTGGGTTGCTGAGGACAGTTGTCGACTCCCAGTTCTTGGTCAAGGCAATACCTTTAGTGCAGACTGCTTGTCCCCAGTGTTTAATCAAGGCTGATGTTTTCTCACCAAGAATAACTTACTCATTGAAGAGTCTTATTCAAGGGAATAAAATGGAATATTGCAGCCAAAAAGAGTCATAGGCTTAGTCAGATCATTGCTGGCAGGCTTCTTTCTCCCCATCCCAAGTTTATTTTTGACCAAATTTATGCCTAAATGAGAAGTTCGGCTTTAAGAGAATAATTTTAACATAAATGAGTCTTTCATATC